AAGGCAGTCGCTTAACCAACTGAGCCACCCAGGCGCCCAAGTCATCTCTATTTGTATCAAAAGAATGCAAAAACGTCCGTGATATATTTTTAATTTTGTTCTGCAGTTGATGGGGAGCCACTGAGAATTTGATAACAATCATAGTCGCATTTGTGGAATATTCATTGGTATGAAGGAGACCAGTTAGTAGAAGTGAACTAAGTAGCACTGGGTAGGAAGAGGAGGAATGAGACAGCTTATTTCAGAAGAAATTGAGGCCCAGGATAAAACACGTGGCATGCATAAGGTATCATAGAATATTAGTAGCAGAGTCAAACTGAGCACCAAGACATCCAGACTCAGGCCCAGCCCTGTTAAGCTATTTCAAAACTCCTCATATCATTTGATTCCTTGACAACAAAAGAACTGCAATCGAGAACTGTCATTTGGAGCGATCATGTGCTACTATGTTGACATTTTAGTGAATAAAAGACTTTACTAGCCTCAGGACCATGAAAATACTCTTCTAGCAAAGTCTCAATAATTTTCCAATATGATTAAAATTCAAATTATGTCACCTTGCTTGTGAACAAAGTGAAAATATGTTTTGTATAAGTCTTACCGTTTGATAGTTTTAGCCAATTAACAAAACCTGACAGCTGGTCTAGAATTTGAGGTAAAATTCCCCTGCTGACTCAGGCAGTGAATAAGAATTTAATGTTCATTAAAATATGTCACAATCTGAGACCCAAAACAGGTACCATCTGCCACCAGTTCCTACTACATACCTAGGTATAGATACAGTGTGCTCAAACTCTTTTATTTATAATCAGTGTAATTTGTTTTGAAATATTATCACCAATAGCCCATGGGATCTCCTCGTTTTCCTTTGAGGTGGGAACTGAGGAGTCAAGTATTTAATTTCCTCTAGATCTGTGCTTTTATCCAAACCGTGTAGACCTATTATTTTTTTATTTTTGTGTGGTCAAAACTGATTTTTTATTTGCTATAAACGATAAAAAGGAAAGGAGAGAAGAGACAGTGACCCTTATGAGGTGAATTCCAAGGCTGGTAGAATCACGTAGGCTAGCCTGGGAAGGCCCAAATTTGAAAGGAAGTGTGCAGCTCCTGTGAGGACTGGTGGTGTTTTGCAGGGAAGGGCAGCTCTGGGAAGCCTGGTGATCCATAAGCCGATGGTGTGCAGGGGATACAGGGGTACTAGGGAGTTGAGGACAGTCTCAACTGTGGCTGTGGGACACGTGGTAGCTCAACAAGTCCCTACTGATAGTTCCATTCTACCGGGACTTGATTACTTTGCCTCACCTCCTGTCACCAGCCTCAAAGAATTCATGCAAGTAGAATCAATGGTTCTCAAACTGTGATCCCCAGACTGGGATCTCATTAGGTCCTGGGACACCTGGATCTAACAACAGCTGGGAACTTGTTAGAAATGCAAATTCTTAGATCTCAGCCCAGACCTGCTAATTCATACAGACTGGCAGTAGGGCCCAGAAATCTGTATTTTAGCAAGGCTTCCACGTGACTCTGATGTTCCCTCAAGGAATTCCTGGGTCTTTTGTAAGGACACGTTCATTTTGCACTTCTCACGTTGACCAGATAGATCATGTCTGTTCTGTCTTCTTGAGCGGCTTCTTTGCTTCCTGTCTCTCCTTACTACTAGCCTGGTCTAGTTTATTGACTGTATCTTCCTGCCTATCTTGGAGGTAAGTCCAGGTGCTTGGCTTCTTTGAAAAATAAAAATACATTTCTTCTTTTAAAATCCTGGCTGTCCTCTGCCATGTGTAAGTTTTCTAGAGCTTCCTGAGTTTTCCAGAGCTCTCTGGTTCTCTGGCACTCCAAGACCTGTGATCAGTTTTTGATATGCAGAAAGACATCTATTTTATACCCTAATAATAAATAACAAATCATAGTCATTTATTATGCATACATAAAATCCAAGCATAGAAGTATTGATAGTCAAGGATAGATGGGAGAAGGTAATTCATTACTATGATTCAATGCTGTCATGGATTTCCTGTCCTCTCCTTCTATTAACTGTGGTAGAAGAGTCCTTTGGGTAGTGGGAGATCACGAAGAGAGAGAGAGAGAGAGAGAGAGAAAGAGAGACAATGAGAGGAAACATTCCCCTAACAAGAGGAAACAAACTGAACCACTCACCTGTCATCACCATTTTAGAAAAGGCAGATCTAAAATTTACTAGCTAGAAGCATTGGTACAGTGTTCTTGTCATATAGATTTAGGTAAAAATATACAGATTCAATACTTCTACAATGTCATTATAATAATGTTATTACTTTACCTTGAGTCCATTTTCCCTAGTGGTATTCTTTAGTGGTGATTTGACTTTCCCCTTTATTTTTGTGATGCTCACCAAGTGCTTCTTCATTTGGCTTAATTTTAACACAGATGTCTTAGTTTCATTTGCCACTAAATCCCTTTGGGTATCCAATTAGTTTTATAGATCATCTAAGAAAAACTGTTTAGGTAACATGAAGTTACCCATAAATTTCCAACACAGATTTTTTCCTCTTCTTCAAACATAACTCTCAGATCCTTGTTCTAAAATGTTTCCAAATCGTTACCCATTTAGCTTAAACAATGGTGCACCTCTGAGCCTTACACATAGAGCTATTTAAAGTAGCTTCTTAAACCCTGAGAAAGTAAGCCAAAGAGGATTGTATATACATCTTTATATTTTTAAATGTATTTAAAATGTCTTTCATTCTATCATAACTTCTTCCAAAAAAAAACTTGAGATGGCTTGCAATGAAACAAACGGATGCCAAAAGTTAAAAGAAGAAAAGAAAAATGAGATGTCATGAAGGGATTGGAGGAATCTACAAATTTAAATTTGGGTCCCAGCTCTAGCCAGGGAGCTGAACTATTGTTTTACTATTAGTCCAAGTGCGCATTTAAATTTGATGGAGGGCAGTCTGTGAATTAAACGAACAAAATCAATATACAAAACCAATGTATTACTAAGTTCCCACATTGAAAGTTTATTTTGGTATGAATTCTCCTTAGAAATCTTAACTCATATTTTGATTTATTGCATTCTTTCAAACTGAGAAAAAATAGTGGAAAAAAAAACCTTAATTGCTGAGGAAAAATAGGAAAGAACTTCACAACTAGCTTTTATATCTTAAAAATAGCATGCACTAAGAATCCAATGTAAAGTACACCAGGTAAAGCAGATTCTGAATAAAGGGTGAGCTAATTGAAGGAGACACCAGAGCCTTCTGCAACTCAGAGCTATCAGTGCAGTTGGCACGCCCAAATGAGCTACATAAAGTATCCTTTGATTTCTTTGTGTGTATGACACTTCAGTTCATAAGCAATCGGTACATAATGTTTCATGATAATTTTTTTGCCATGTGTAATATCAATTGTTCTTGAATTCGCAATTGTTTTGGAAAGACAGGTCTCACTGTTTAGTTTATGTTTATTGTACTTGCTATTGCCAGAAAGAGGGGATTGCAAAGGGACTGTAAAATAATTTTCTCCTTTCTTTCTTCTTATTCTGTGTCTACAAGTTAAGTCAGGGACTATTATTTGGGAGCTGGAAATTGGATTTTCCAAAGTGCAGAGTAACCTTAATGGATAAAATGAAAGAATAAGCTGTCCTGATCTACTGATTTCATACAAGCCACTTTGTTTATTCATTCCATAGCAACCAGAGGGCATGTGTGACTCCTCATAACTCACAGGAACTTTGAAAATATGAATGTTATAAAAATTACTCCATAAAACACATATGAAAACATGCAAAGTGATTCCAAAGGATTTGTGTCACACTCAATTACTTAGTTCTATTACTTAATGGGCTTTAAAATTAGCTTTAGAAGATAATTACTCAGATAGCCAAATGTTAATTGAATAACAGATGCTAAAAAAAATTTAAAAGTCAGTAAACTGCCCTTTGAGCAACACTACTTTTTTACTTGGAAGTCCCTTAAATATTTTTAAATAGCTCTTAAGTTTCTCTACTAGGTGTTTATGCTACATCTGACTTTTTATTTTTTTTTTCCTTCACGCTTCTTGGGAAGATTATTTGGATTACAATTTTCTACTTATATTCTTATGGGCTCTTGATCCTTTGCAGGCACGATTACAATCTTATCTATACAAATGAGAAAATACATGCAAAAGCAATATGAACTGTAGTGTTTTAGAAAATGTAACCTAGGCTTATTACATGTTCTTTCCTGTTTTAACAGGCCTTAAAAACAGATCTAGAAAAGAAGAAGCAAACTATGGACAAACTCTGCTCACTCAACCAAGATCTTCTTTCAACACTGAAAAACACATTGGTAGCCCAAAAGATGGAAGCATGGCTGGACAACTTTGCCCAGCGCTGGGATAATTTAGTCCAAAAACTTGAAAAAAGTTCAGCACAGGTTAGTGATACTAATTACCCTGTAATAAGTCATCCTTTAGATTTTTGAAATTTTCATTAAGAGAGCAGTGTTATAACCCTACAAAATATATCACTGGACTAGTCCTTGTCAAGTATTCCGTTGAATAAAAGCATGGGTCTCTTGGTTGTCTTGATATTGGGGAATGTGGGAGAGGTGAAGGAGTGAGTGCTAACTGACTGAACTAGTTACTGTCTTAGAGTGCAGCCCCTTCCAGTTCAGTGGGAATGAGGATGGGAGTGACTTAGAGCAACTGGACCAAGTTCTTGGGGACTATGTCTCACAACCTAAGCCCAAATCCTAGATTTCTAGAAACTGGAGGGCCATTCATTGGTCCCTCCATTTTATATATGAGAAAAATGAAACATAGGGAGGAAAAATGAATTGTCCAAATGAAGTTAGTGATAGGAGCACGGTTAGGGCTCAGGTCCTTTGATTTCATGGAAGACCTCATTCTATTACTTCAAGTAAGGATCTAATCATTGGATGTTCTTTCTGCCACAGACAGTTGATTCATAACACAAACACATAGACTGTGGATTAGGAAAGCATCTGTGTTCCATTTGTAGTGTCATCATGTGGTTTTATGTTAAGCATTTTAAAAGTTTTGGTAATTTAAAGAAAATGGGGTAGTTTTAAAGTAGAAACTTTTATTATCTGATATTATTAGATGGTGGAATCATGGCTCATCATTCAAAATACTAACATTATATATAATAGTATTTAACATATTCTGCCATATTATTTTCCATTACAGAAGCTAACCTTTACTAATCAGTCGCAATTCATGGCTCAATGCACCATGTGTACATCTCTATTAAAGCAGTGACCACAATCAGTAGCTTTAGGCAGTTATCTCCTTTGTTATGAGACAATGCAGGGAATTTGTCTTCTTGACACTTGACATCTGATGAGTAGCACTTAGGAAATGTTTGTTGAAAGAAGCAATGAAGTTTAAAGTATTGCATCCAGAAATATAATTTAAGAAAACAGGATCAAGCAACTTGTATGATTTTCAATCACACTTCAACCTCCCTTCTGAAATTAAATTCATACTTAAAATTTTAAATTTGAAGGAATATAAATTGTAATTATTTCCTATGCAGTCATTGGACATAAATAAAAATTGTTTGTTTTCCACTGAGTATATTTTTATCAGTTGCTTGATCTAATAGTGATTTTAAAACCACATCATGATTCATCTTGTTGTATATGATCTGGCCATGGTTACTTTGCCTTAACACTGGCATTTATGTAATAAACTTTGAGGCATTAGAAAATTTGATACTTTTCAAACCATCAGTGATATCATTCCAGTATGTACCCATTGGTTCCATAGATTATTGCTGCTGTAAAATGGTCACTTAACCATGTTCAGAAGGATTAGCATTGCCTTACAAAGAAAGTTATTTAGAAATGCATCCCTTTAAAAGGGTATATTTATGGAGATGTAACTGTTACCAGTAAGTCATGCTTTTGTTCACTTGCATTATATACAGTGGTTTTCAAACTTGTATCTGCATAATAATCACCTGGGAAACTGATTAAAATGCTTGGTTCTGGATCTCATGCTCAGAGACTCTCATTCAGTAAACCAGTAATCTGCTTGCAGCCTTTGATAGAGTCTACAGAACATATTTTTAAAAAACATTGAATTAACAAGACAGTGGCATATGTGTCCATCCCCACATTGTGGGTTTTTCCACAGTGCTGCCTTAAATGGGGAAAATAGAGACCTTCCTATCAATGCTGTATTTAAATATACTCGCTTTCTTGGAATGAGCCTACTTTTTAAGGAGCGTTGTATATATCATCAAAACGTTACTGATTTGTTATTCTAGTTGGTAAAAACAACAACAACAACAGCTTAGAAACTTTATTTTTACTGGTCTAAAATTATAAGACTACCACCCAGGGCACTTACTCACCTTCCTATTTTTGAGCTTTTCAAAACCTGTAATAAAACACTACTAGCTCTGATGTCCAACATACAGTATGACATGTATCCACTGTATTTGCCCATTGGGATGTGATGAGGATAAAATAAAGTCATAGACATGAAAGCATTTTGGGGAAAAAAAGAACTCTGGAGCTCTTGATATACAGAGCATACTGTTTAGTGAGTCTGGAGGGCTTTTCTAGTTCAGTATCATTTTTAAAATTTTTATTTTCACACATTTATGCACTACTATACCAGATTAGAAGCAGGTAAGTAGACATATTAGGCAAGTTGCTTTTTAGAATACTAAGCTTCAGCTTTTCTACAGTTCATATTTCAGGTTTTGTTCATTGTTTTTTTTTTTTTTTTTCCCCAAAAGGAACTATCATAGCCCCAATCTAAAACATTGCTGGGGTGGGTTGGGACTCTTAGAAAGATAAAAACAAAGCTACCCGAGGACAGAGTAATGAAAAGGAGATAGAGAGAACCATGAAATAGTATCTTATACCTAAAAAAAGCCCTAGATTTTCTTTCTTAAATGTAAAATTGAACTTGATCAAAATTACATGGGAAAAAGCCCAAGAATATTGAGGGCAAGGTTCTGACTTTGAAGAACAAAGCTCTCTTGTATGCACACTTTCCGGTATGTTTGCGGGGGCGGGGGGAGGATGTGAGAATCTGTCCCATTAATGATACAGTATTGCAATCTCCTAAAAATTCTTTTAAGTGATTGGTTTAAAGAATGAGCAAAATCTGGTAATGGTTAAAATCCAGTAGGATATAGGAATTATGGCCGAGATGACAAGGCATCCGATTGTGCTCTTATAAGGAACATTGTGTGCCTGAATTTTTGACTGCTATTCAGGTCAAACCTTTGAGGGATTTTGACCTTTTGAAACAGTAGCATGGCAAGAGATCAAAATATGGAAAAAATCAGCTGTGAGGCTGTTCTCTTGCATTTCAAAGTCAAGGTTGGCTTGAATAATACCTGGACACAAGCTGAGGATGCTTAAGTTGATGAGAAGGCAGAGTAAGAAAATAGAAATACTTTGTTTCCAAAAGTTAGGAAGAATAATAACCCTTGCTATGTGGATGCTTCAGTTGAGAAAAGAAAACAAATCAAACATACTCTGGATTGACTTATTTAAAAACTCAAATGACCCTCTGTGTCCTCTAAATCTTTTATAAATATGCTTGTTGAAATTTACAGGTTTTTTTTTCTTTTTTTTTTTTAAAGATTTTATTTATTTATTTGACAGAGAGATAGAGAGCACAAGTAGGCAGAGAGGCAGGCAGAGGGAGAGGGAGAAGCAGACTCTCCACCGAGCAGGGAGCCCGACGTGGGGCTCGATCCCAGGACCCTGGGATCATGACCTGAGCCGAAGGCAGCCACTCAACCGACTGAGCCACCCAGGTGCCCCCACAGTTTTTTTTTCTAAATGCTTGTAATTTTATGTAATTTTATCTTGATTATAGTTAGGAAATAGGATAGTCAGAAATTAATTATAGGTAATACTTTAAAGTTACACATAATTTTAGCGATTTGAAACAATCTTTTCCCCCATTTAACTGAAACCATATATACTGTGGAAAGGGTATAATATTCATGTGCTTTATAATTTATTATGGTATTTTATATTAAACTTGGCATTAGGTGTTTAAATGTAAAAATATATCTATCTAGATGAGCTCCGAAGTTCTGTAGTTTTGTCATTGTTTAGTAGAGTAAATTATTTTCTTTGCCAGGAGTAAGGGGCATTTTATGGCACATGTAAGTTTATACATGTCATTTCCATTTCCTGAATATTTTGCTATGTTTCTCTTGACCATTTTTGCAATGTTCTGAACTATAAGCCCAGATATCTTAAAGCTAAAATTAATGTGCCCAGAATCCTCCTCTCCTTGAACATGAGAGTACATGTTTATGTTGTATATTTCTCTATCTATAGTCACAGATGCTGAAAGAGAGAAAGTGATCATTATGTATGTATTTATCTATTCTATATCATTGATGTCCTGCTGAGAGTTTTTAAACTCTTGCCAGACATGGTTGTAGTGTAAAACACGGTTGAAGATAATAAGCCAGGATTTTTAGTAATACCAGAAATGCAAATACAGAGATGCAAAGGTATTAAGATGAATATTTCTTTATTTGCCTTTCAAGCAATGTTTTAAGCAGACTCCCTGCTGAGCATGGAGTCCAATGTGGGGCTCAATCCCAGGACCCTGAGATCATGACCTGAGCCGAAACCAAGAGTCAGACACTTAACTGAGCCACCCAGGCACCCCTGCCAATGATTTTAATTAAAAATACTCTAAAGCCTTTCTGTTGAAAACCCCTTTTCCTTGGTTACTGAAAGTTCTCCAAGCCTAATCAGCCTGATGCCAATTTAAAAAAATGGTTTTATAAAACCTAGAATTAAAATAAAATCCCTTGATTTATTTTAGGTTTCTGTCTTTTTCAAGGACTATCACTACATCAAAAACTAATGACGTATTGTATGGTGACATAACATAATAAAATTACATTAAATTAAAAAAAAGGACTATTTAAATTCATGGACTAACCATCTTGAATTTTAGAACATCTTTTAGTTAATAGCTTAGGTTAAAGGTTTTATTAGAAAATTTCCAAGTAAATTAACTGTATCCTTTTCCTGCCTCCAACTAAAGTAGATGTTTGAGAATGGGCCTTGCATATCAATGTAATAGTTTTTATTTTATAATTCATTATCTACAACAACATAAAATGCTGCAGGCACTGAAAATTTAAGAGACAAGAGCTGAGTTAATTATTGGACACTCTCATTTCTTATTTATAAAATGGAAAGTCTGGGCTAGGAAGATCTCCATAGTGTCCTTCCAGTTCTCAATGCCTGTGATATGTTTCTCTTTGCTTAAAATTTTATATAAAACTCTGAAATAATTGGTGAAGTGATTCCAACTATCTCTGCTATATCAATCTGAGAGTCAGCTGGAAGATGATAATGAAAATAAAAATCTCGGGGCGCCTGGGTGGCTCAGTCATTAAGCGTCTGCCTTC